CTTTCTTTAGGGCTTCAGCACTGGTCTAATATGGTTCCTTGTATCTATCAGACCGCAGTAGAAAAGTTTCAAAGGGTTTAAATGTAATTCAAGTACAGTTTCAAATACATACAATTGCGAAATACAACGCACAAGGCAAAATCAGAAACAAAGCACATAGTGCTTCAATAAGTGAGAAGAGAAATAACAAATAGAACCGAAATGAAAACTGAAACGCGATCAACGAAAAACTAACCACTCTGACACCACTCTGTGTCATTTAACAATGAAACTGAATTCACACCCCAAGTACGGAACCAACAACAAAGTAACATCGCATAAACTAGATTCATCATTGGAAGTTGTGTTGGAATTCTGAAGTGGCAGGGTATATCAATGTTTTATTCCGTTTCGTCTTCGAATTACTCGGATGAATAACTGAAGCAGCAATCAGCCAGATCTCTGAAGGAGTTTATGTATGTCTCTAGGACGGACCACATTCGAAATGTACTTCCTAATCAAATATTCATTGGATTCTAGGTTGTGTTAGGAGCCTAATGAATGGAGGATACAGTACAGGTGAATTTTGCATCAAAGCAAACCATACATGAATCAGTGCATGTTACTAATGGAATCGTGAACTGTATTTTATGGGTAGTTGTTTCTGCATCAATTTCATTCAATCACGGTAACTCAAATGGAATTTGGGATTGAATTCTTAATTTATGCTTAGGTGAGTTGTCACTTACAGGTCGCTAATAGAAAATGAATCTCATAATCAGAAATCTTAATAACGAGTAAGGAGTTTCAGTTTTTTCATTTCCTTCTATTTAACCAACTTTAACACCACGCTGGAAGGTAGAACTGTAACCTCTGGTGCAGAATGATTTTGATCCCAAACTCCAAGACTGCATCACTCTCTCGATGCTTGGTAGGTGAAATGCAGGCCGAGAAGACTGTTACGGTTTGGTGTTTGGAAACGTGCTTGTTTTGAATCAACTGCATGATATGTCATTTACTGTGGTCAATTACACCGCATACAGTGTGAAGATACGAGTTCGGTTACAGGTTAAACTGAAGAACTATAGTAGTTTATTTTCGCAGATTACCGTGGTGCTAACGGATAATTGCGTTTTAGATTAATTTCTAAAACTATTTTTTCCAAATGAGATACTGTGTATTCCTTCCTCAATCAAATACCAACTTTCTTTTCAACTTGATAGTTTCTTGAATCTCATACTCAAACTAATACTAAGGACATATTGTAAATAATAGAAAGGCCAATTGTAAAACTAATTTAGGGTGGTACACTTGCATGGGTGGTATTACTGATTACCTACCTGTATGATGTACCTGATTAGTATAAGTAGCTTTAGTTTTGAGTAGTTATTAGTTTTATCTTCCTCTTGAAGATGATCATTTGGTGATCGAAACACGTGTCGAGGTGTAAAAATAACGATTTGGTGTTAGGAAAAAACTCCAGTAATATTTGATACTAACGGAGTTATGCGCCTCTTCCAACTTTATGAAAGTACTTGAATAACGTATTCTACTACCTATTTCAGAAGGCATTGCGAAACGATGAGTTCAATAAAATTTGTGATTTTGACCTTCATGAAATCTCTCACTCAACTTGTTGATTTTCGTGTCAGTTCATCCTAATCAAAGAACTGGTTTTCACTCATTTAAAAAAATATGATATGCTTGAAGCATACATAGTGTATCGCTGAAATACTGAGCGTGCTCTTGAATGTTATTGAATGTACTTGTGATGCACTGTTTGGAACCTTTTATCTAGTCATTTTCAACGCATCGACACGTGTTTCAATCACGTGATCATTTCCAAGAGGAAGATTAAACTAATTCAATACTTACAATGTTGTCCTTATTTATGCTATGCACTACTGAGTCTTAATTGTCCTAAATCAATTATACAATATTGCCTTATCTACTGGTCAGGTATACCTTTTTTTTTCATATCAAAAATATCCGCATCAACCGCGAAAGGTTATTAGCGGAGGAACAATTAGGTATAATTATATTTTATGTAATATATGAATAGATTTCATAGGTTACTAAAGAGTTCAAGTTCACCACGTCTAGAGCAAAATTGAGTTCACTGGGAAGTCTTGCGTTTCATTTCCCATTTTCCATTATAACAGATTTCATAACACTCGAAATTAGGATTTCTCTTGAGCGCTTGTTGAGCTACTGGATAGATAACGCATGTTTGAAATTTTATCTATTCCACTTTATTTAATATCGCATTTTTTTCTCTGTATTCTCATTTGATCGATCGATGTAATCAGTTTTAGATTTTTCTTCATTTCAAAATATTCTTAGTTGAAATTATATTATGAATGTAATGTTCTGCTGATTTTTGAGTATTCAATCTTCCACAGTATAAAAAACAAATAAAGCTGAATCACTATATAATTTGCAAAATTGTAGTAGAGGGCGAATTGAAAAGTTAACCCTGAAAAGGTACTGCATAATATAAACCACCGACAAGTTCAATTAGTCAGTAACTTGCTCTTTATTACACTCAAGCAGATTGTCTATTGGTCAAGCTGTGTTCATATTTAAAAAAAAAACATTTACTCATACACAAAAAAAGTTCTTCCAGAGAATGAATGTTACTTTATTCAGTCTCTCAGAACATATTCGATATTTCATTGCAAGATTTTCACTTCATATTTTTTTTCTCTGTTGGGACGATAATATATATGATGAACAATATGAACATCCTTTTACTTTGATGGTCGAGAAGGAAAACACTAGCCAACTGCATTTCGAATTGCTTCAGCCTTGGTAATTCCTTTATAAACAGGAGGAAAAATCGACCAACAATCAAATTATCGCCCAATATCATTGCTAACGACCCTTTCGAAAATAATCGAAAAACTTTCAAAGATTCGCTTCATGGCCTTCATGGAACGCCACAACCTATTTAATCAAAACCAATTCGGTTTTCGAAGCAATGTACCAATGATGCAATTTTTGAACTTTTCGAACACCTATATGGTCGAAAAAACGATTGAAGTATAGTCCCAGAAGGGTTCTGTGACTCAACAAAAGCCTTCGACTGCGTGTATCACAAAATATATCTGCGAAAACTATAATATTACGGATTCAGAGGATATGCCCTCAATTGATTTCAGTCCCACCGCACACGAAAAGTGTTCATCGGACAACATTGGAATGCGAGTACAATAATTGCGGCATTCCACAGGGGTTAGTTTTGGGACCAGTACTCTTTTTGTTATTCTTGAATGAACTGGCCCATCTTAATGTTCGAGGCAAGTTCACCCTTTTTGCTGATGATGTGGTACGGAAAAGATTTTTCAACATTGAAGGGAACAATCCAGAATTACTTAGTGAAGATGAAGGAATGGTGCGACAGTAAGTCGATTGCCTTGAATATCAATGAGACCAAATTACTCACGTTCAAGTGTGACATGACAGGTATAACTATTAAGTCATTGCCATTACCACACAATATTTCTTGGCAACGAGCTGAAATTTGATGATCTCATCTTGATTCTTAGTAAAAAACTGACATCGAGGTGTTATGTCGTAAAAATGGCTTCAAACGAGATTGGTGCAGAAACAGCTGAAATAATGTATCACGCTCTCATAGAGTCCCACCTCAGATACGTCATTGGTTTCTGGAGCATGTGCGGGCATGTGCAAGGGTTCAATAGCATTTTCATTTCACAGAAGATGGCATTACGATATATATGTAAGGTATCTGATGGTGGCAGATGATTAACCATCTCAGGAAAAATGACAAACGAAACAATAATATTGAAATGAATGATGATAATGTTGAGATATCAAAAATCGAGATGGCTAATAATTTCAATGCCCTTTTTTCCCCTATGAAGTGTCATGATGAGATGGACATTAAATTTATGGAAAATAATGTTTCCATCTGCCAAAACTCCTTTTTTATGTATCCCATTAGTGACTATGACATTATTGATGTGATCAAACCACTATAAAAGTCGGGTGTAAGTGGTTATGATGAGATTTCAAACAAGTTCCTAAAAAATGTGCTCATGAGTTATCATATCCACTGCATCACATCATTAACCTATCACTAGAATATGGAATAATGCGAGCGCTTTTGATGGCAGGCTGTGCTATCATTATATTGGCTCTACTGAAACTGAACGTTTTATCTTCTTGTTTGTTCTTTTATAGGGTTAGAACGCCTCAGTGCAGGTATTTGTTCTTTCCTCTCATCCGGATGTCTCTTCAGATTTGCCTGTACTTGGTACAGGCAAATCTTGTGTTGATGTTTCTTTGGGTTCACTTTTTCTAGGAATGTGTATGTGTAAGATATTACCTAATGTAACCCAAGTAAAGGCAAATTTAAAGATAAATCCGGATGAAGGGACAGGACAAATACCTATACTGAGGCATTCTAACTGTATAAAAAAACAAACAAGAAGATAAAATGTTCAGTTTGAGAAGAGTCATGAAGATGATAGCACAGCCTGCTATCAAATGTTATTATTAAAATACTGAAAATAAAGGAAAACTTGTTGAAAGGAGAAATGAAAATTTCTATGTTTTTTACCACTTTTAATTGTAACTAACGTTACTGCAGTTTCGTCCTATATGGACATTCTCAAACTCATACAATAAACTTCATTATTATTATTATTTAACGAAACGAAACGGGAGTAACGTTAGTGACAAATAAAAGTGATAAAAAGATAGAAAGTTTCAATTTTTTGTTTTAAATATTCTCTCTCTTTATCACTCTCTCTCTCTCTCTATTCATAAACAACATTTTAATTGAATCTTAAAATTTCCGTAATGAACTGGTTACGTATCCAGTAGTTATAAGCGCCGATTACAAATTCGTGCGGGTGCGATGAAATTCCATTATTACCAGAATAACCGTTATATAATATGCTATTTCACTACATGTCACATCTTGTCATTTACGTGTTCCTACATCCAACTGGAGTGTCTTCTAAATATTCATGGGAATCTTGTTTATGTTTCAGTGTCCTCATATCAAGGCGAAGTGTTGAAATTGTGGAAGATATCTCGAACTGAAATGGGAGCTTATATGTGCATCGCATCAAACGGCGTACCCCCGACCGTAAGCAAGAGGATTATGGTCAACGTTCACTGTAAGTGGCCTTCTTGTATTCTGCATGAGTTTAATCCGAAGTTGAAATGAGATTCAGTTTATCAGTATTTGTCAGTTTAGTGTTGGCAGTTTAATTATGGCAATACGGTGTTTATGAAAGAGGATGTAGAAAATATTGGTAGAGATTTTGATACGATCCAGAATCAAAATGAGTTTCGTTTATTTCTCATATTCAAATCTCTGGTATGACTATGATTGGTTACTTGAGCATTTGTTAGACTTAGTCCAAGCAACATCCCTATTCAAAGATTTTACCTCTACTACTTTTGCATGTGTAAATGAAAAATATTACTTTGCAGAAACAATTTTCATGTAATATTTGTACTAGTTACACTTTTGTTGACTTAGGAAATCTTTTAATTTGAAAATTGAGATATTTTTTGAATTCTTCAATTATTTCTTGAAAAACGAGGAATAAAGCTCCTTATGTTTTTTACCACTTTTACTTGTAACTAACGTTACTGCTGTTTCGTCCTATTTTCGGACATTTTCAAATTCACAGTGAAAAAATCATGAAAAAATAAAAAACTTGAATCGAGATATCAAATTAGTTTTCCAAATATCCTAATTATTTCATTTTCCATCATGAAACACTGCATGAATATGATTTTTGCGATTACATTTTTCGAAAAATCATGAATGAATGCGATGGAATCGGCCATTACCTACTTGATGAAAATTAATATTGTATTGAAGTAACTCTTCATTATGAAGAGGACAGTTTACGAAACTGTAACACGTGTTTCACTATACAATAGCTTCTTCAAGCGTTTTTATACTTCAATACACTTGCGGAAGCTATTGTATATCGAAACACCTTGAGGGAATTTGTGAACTGTCCTGTGAAAGTTTCAGGAAAAAGTTTTACTTGAATATAAAAACATAGGATATATAGAATATTCCATTTTTTATAGCTTTTCACCTGAAGACGCATTTGCTAACTACCGGTTATGAACAAATAAATTTTCGTGCAATAACTATATTTCTACTAACAGTGAAAAGACTCACGAAAACAATCATATTTGTCTTTGTTGTTGTTTTATATGCTTTTTTTCTGAGAGAACCTGAAAAAACAATTTTCACCACATAGACTATGATTGTCATTGTATTTTTTTATTGTTGTGAAATTATGTTGAGGATAAATTATTTCGTTCATTTTAATTGTTTTTCACCTTTACATGATTTTGAAGAGAACGTTCTTGAATATCGATATTTACTATTACTAATTAACGAAGGAACTTTATCATAATCCTCAGATATGTATCAATCGGATTTTCAAAAACTGTATGTGAATATTCTGGGAGTACCATCGAAAACAGTTCATCTTCCAATATATCAATGTAGACTGCGTTCTTTTATCGAATGAACCATATTCTCGTAATCGTTGATGAAGTCGAGCAAATATTATATGTGAAGGATGCTGCCGTTGAGGATACATTTTAGAATATCTTCTAGAAACTTCTAACCCATTCCCCTGCGACAGACCGTAAATGTAATGCATATCAGCCATTTCCCCATTTGTGTATGCCATCTTAATAACAAGTGAATCATTAAAGTGAAAAATTAAGAAGAGAACAACAAAACACAATTAGTATTAATTCAATTTCGAAAATTCACAAACTGACACCGTCATTACAATTTAATTGTCACTATCGCTAATAGCGACCTACTAGATAGATTAGTTTCGTATTTTCGAATTTATGACGATGTATCTGTGTAGTTGTTCCTAAAATAATTTTTTGCTGCGAACTGGTTTATTTTTGGCAAAGAACCCTGGAGACATTTTTTGTTCAGAATGAAACAGGCTATCTGAAATAAATTTTAAATGGTGAACAAATAATATGACAAAAAATTACATTGGAAATAAATTTTAGGGGTTGCGTTTTCCACCCCTCCAACCATGGGGTAAACCAAATAATTTTCTGGTTAAGTGTCCCTTTGGTGGTACAATATTGTAACTTTTTAGTGCTTGTGAAAAAAATTGTTGTACAAATTTTATGTACTCCCTTCAAGGGGCTCTATCTTAACAAGGGATGCTACAATGAAATTTCTTTATATGAAAGATCTATTTTTTTCCGATGAGGAATCACCTCCTTAAATGGTTTACACTTATTTAGTTACACCCTGTATATTCTTCATAAAGGGTCGATTTCAGAATTTTTTCATTCATGACCTTGTTTTCTTTGGTATTTTTTAATAATATTTCTATTTTGATTTCAAATCATATTCTTCAATCATCATACAGAATCAAGTTGATCTCTAATATTCGACATTTAGTATTGTTGTCATCGTTATTGAAAGGTAGAACTTGTACCTCTGCCGTAGAAAATTACCAAAACAAGCACTGTTTTCAAACTTCAGAACTGAAACACTACACCAGAACTGAAACACTATTTGCATTTCACGAACCACGTTCAAGAGATTAAGTATACTAATACGTATGTCTAAACCTGACCTACAAGTATTCATATCTAATACGGTACTTTTATTTATTTATTCAACGGCAAAGCCAATTAACTTTGTAGTTTTTCACACTTTCCTAAAAGTGTTTTTGAATGCTCATTTTTGATGTCTACATCAGAATTTAAAATTTTACAAATCATTTAGCCAAGTGTGTAATACAAAATATTAATGAATCCTCATGTCTAGTGACTACATTACTAAAGGATGAAACAAATCTGGTACTTACAAAGAAAATGGTAAGGTAAAAAAGGGCTTCGGATACGCTATAGATTTTTTTTCAAAGACCTGAAGTGACAAATTAAACAGATCTAAGTTATTATGATATTGATTTCTCAGCTTCAGAATACGAGGAATCGGACTGTTCAAAGCATAATTGGTATGAAAAAAAATGTATATGAAAAATGTCACAATTTCTCGTATCTTTTTGTTTGATATGAAAAGTTATTGTGTGAAATACTTCTGGACAGTTTATCCCACTATTTATTATTTTGAAGAAGAAACTCAAGTTCATAGAAATTATCGTATCTTCCAAAGATTTGGTTGGTTAACTTAGACAGTTGACTGTACTTATATTCATTTCGTTGAAAACCAAAGTGAAACGCACAATTTTTTGAGAATTCCTTTTGAAAATTCTCAATCGAATCGATATTTACATTATAGTATGGGTCCCACATAACCGAACAATATTCAAGAATGGATCTTACGAAAGCAAAATTTGAAGTACATTTTTGTTTTAATTGAAAAATCAGTAGAAATTATCAAGACAAAACCTAGCATTCTGAGAATTTTTGCCACAATTTCTGATACTTGAAGATTGAAATTAATTTCTCTATCAAATTTAACTCCCAGATCGCGAGTAAATGTTTCTCTATCAAGAGCTATATTATTCAATCTACATTCAAAGAATATTGTACTTATAATTTTAGCGAACGATCGATGTTTTCCACCTCATGGAAAAAGCTTCGACATCTTTCTAAACTAAATCAGCATCTTCCCGGACAGTAATAGCTCGATACAGTTTGAGATAATCCGCAAACATAAGAAAATCTGAATATTTGAAAACAAACTCTATATCTGATTCAAACAAGTTGAACAGCAGTGGGCCCATATGGGGTCCCTGTGGTACCCCTAATGGAACCTGAATGAGCGTAGATGTTGTATCTCCGTATTTTACAGACAGAGTTTTACCAGTTGAGAAGCTATTGATTACTTGCAAAATATTCCCGCCTATACTAAGCGCTTGAATTTCAGATATAAGTAGGCCGTGGTTGACTCTGTCAAAGGCTTTGGAAAAGTCAACTTTTAGGCACAGGTCACTAATTTTGGATAGAAATTGGCAGAACATTTTTTCGTGCAAGGTCCTGTTGAACAAACACATTGTTTGATATGAAGTTGAACAATGCGCTGTTTGGAATGGGACTTCTGGTCATTGTTTATAGTTCTCATGCGACAGTTCAGACAGTTGAAAGTATACAAAAGTCTTGTATCATACATCGATCTCAATAATTTTATATTTTGACCGTTCTCCAAAGCGCAAAGCGTATTGAGCGACAATAGACTTTTCTGGTTTCCAAAATATAAACGTGCTTTGGAACGTGTTCCAATTTCACGTCTAATCTAACCAATATAATTTAATAACTCTAATTCTGAAGTTGCCCAACATTCGTTGAAATGAGCAAGCAATTTTGAAGGCTATCGCAACCTTAACCTTAAAAAAAATGCGATCCAATCCTTTCATGTTCTTCAGTTTGGAAGAGACACGAACTTTGAATCCGTGTCTTCTTGAAGAGTTGAAAATTCTTGAAGATTCTCCATGAATTTGGATTTCCTAATCAACTCATCCACTATATCGGAAGGATAACTATTGCTTTCAGCAATGTCTCTGATAACATTTTTGTCAATATCGTATATTTCTTCACCAACAGAAACGTGGCATGCCTGTGGATTAGAAAATTCGATCAAGCTATTTTGTGTTGGGAACAATGGTATGAAATATCAGGAATATATCTGTAAGTACTGGTATTCTTCTTAGAGACATCAAATTCTAGACCCTGTTCACTTTTAATCACTAAGACATCCAAGACTGATAACTCCTCGCTGTTATCGGTTTCATGTATCATCCTTATATTTGCGTATCTGCTGTTAGGAGTTGAAAAATAGTCATCTACTTCAGATACCTTTGTGACAATAATCGCAAATACACCACATTCATATCGTATTCAAGTCTGTGAAAAGGTTGAATGAATAGGATAATAAACAAATGAAAGGAAACATAAATTAGGTATATTTGAAAGTTTATTTCTCAATAACAATAAAAGCATTTCAAATATATCACAGAATGGTTAGAGCATTATTACTAGAACAGATGAATTACAATATTTTCAATTAGTATTTGTTGGATAGGATGAATAACTTCCAAAAGAAGTTGCTTTTTTGTGTTTGGCCGAACTACTACTTGAAAATATTTGTGTGCTAGTTTCCGCAGAAAGGTTTTGGACAATGAGGTGTCCAACTTGA